GCTAAGGTGAAGCTAATAGCTAAGGACCGGACCCCCGAACCCAGAGTGAGGATGTTGTGAGTGCGCCGCCGCCGACTCCGAAGCGGCACAAATTAGAATTTGGAGGACCGTTAACCAAAACAGAGATGGACAGGCTTGTAGCATCCTTCATAGTAGAGGTAATGTTGCCCATTTGCACAGTGGAATCACCATCGCATCGTTCAGAGATATACTGCGCAAAATACAGATAGCAGGAGACAGAGGACAGCCATGGTCAGAGCTATCTGGATCAGTGTTATGCGACAATGGAAACTGAACTAAAGAGAACATTTGAAACTTTAGCAGTCTGCGTGATCTGCCTGTAGGGAGGGACAGGCCGGCCCTGCGAGTAAAGTAACGAGTTACTTTATGTAGAGAGTAACGAAGTAGTGTAATATATTACTTTTTTTTAAAGTAATATGTAATATGTAATATATTACTTTTTTTTAGTAACGACCCCATCTCTGTAGGCGACACAATGCCTATTTTCCTCATGATCTCAACCAGCACACTTCAAAACAAGGACAAAAGTACCGGACTCTCATGGGAAATAAGTTGAGAAATTAGTGTGTAAAGTAGGTATTGCACTTTATCGTCATTTGGAGCCTGAGTTGGCACAGCATTGATCAGGGGGCGGAGCCACTGTATTGACATCCCGCCCACAAGCTCCGAGCGTGACCAGAGCAAGGCAAAAGCTTGTTAGCATGAGATAACCACATCAGTCAATCATCAAAACTGAAATTATACACTAGAAACACTCGAACATTCTTTATCGTGATAAAACAGAAACAATCTATGGGAAAAATGGATTAGACATTGACCTAGTTTTTTTTGTTTTGTCTATTTTCCGTGGACTTATATTATTAATATTATGTCGTCCATCTTCATTCACAGTCTATGGTATGACCCCATAGTAAGAAGCTGATTGAGAAGTTCTTCATTCAAATGTCTGAATGCACAAGGCCCTTGTTGTTTGGAGGCTGTAACACCCATTGACTGGCCTCTAGCAACCTCGGTTTCATTTCCTCTGACCTATTTTAAATGTCACTGTTTGTTTTTGCTGTGTTTAATTTGAATGGACTTTCCCAGACAGGTCTTCCATCGGTTAAAAGTTAATTATCAACATTAGATTTCAAGCCAAGCTCCATGTACTGACAAGAATTTCGACATACCTAAAAAAAGCACCTCGGTCACACTATTTCCTGTTTTCTGACAGGAAACAGAAACTTCCTCTACTAAAGCTAAATGTACTTTTTGAATGAATACCTGTAGAGGTGCCAGATGGCCCCATGGCACTGCTTACGTAGGTATATTTGATAACTTCATTTCCATCTTCATTTTAATAGGAGGTACCGATCTTACTGTGGGTTTTGTGTCCTCTCTGGAAATTTGATTACATTTGAATCTGAATTGTTAGACTGGTCCCATATCAGTGTCTCTGAGATAGTTAGCATCTGGCCTTGGAGTGATACAGCAGGTGCATTGTGCTGCCCACAGCTGCTGCCTTAACCTCAATACTTATCTGCTCTAAGTCAATAAACATGGGAGGATAGATTATTAAATACAGACTGAACTGAGATGAACCCAGGTGACACTGTTATTTAAATGTGTAAAATATCTGTATATCTTTGGGTTGATGAGAGGGTTCTGCATTAGCCCTGTGCTAACTGAAGGCTGGATTAGAAGGGAGGCAGGCTTCCGATTCAGCGGTGCTAACAGTATAACAGGCTGATGACCTCATCTCATCACATGACGGGGAGCTGTGATTCAGCCGCAGTCTGAGGGTCAAGGGTCCTCACGTGACACGGTGAAGGACTTTCTAGGTCACTGGGAATGAGTCTTGTCAGTTCTTCCGGCTGCCAGCAGTGACACATTTGGGTGTTTATTTATTAGCTTTGTGTATTTGTATGTCCTAAATTGATCTTACAAAATTCTAATTTAAACATTTGAGATGAATTGCTATAAATATTGTCTTTATTTAAGTAAAATACTGGAGGAGTGTTTTATGGATATCTATTAGTTACATTTACCCTCGTCACCTGTTGTGTGTCTTGTAGGGATAATGTGTGGAATTTTTCAAAACACAGCAATAAAGGCTGTTATCTCAAAACTATCTTTTTACTCATACCTTGAGCTGGAATTCTCCTTTAAGTACATCCGACAAAACGTTCCAGTTGAATTCCTATCTATATTCTGAAGGTTATTACGTAGGCTTTGCTTATTATCATTTACAGCCTGATTGTGTCTCAGTTTAAAGGTCCCATGTCATGCTTTTCCGGTTATTACCCGTCCCCTTGTGTGTTATGAAGGTTTTTATGTATGTAAACGGTCTGCAGAGTCACAAACCCTCAAAGTACACCCTGTAGCGAGTAAAACTCTAACACAGAAAAGACCCGTCTATGCTGCCCCAGAACGCCTCGTTGGAGATTTCTCATTTTCCATTGTTTGCTTCCTGGGTTCTGTGACGTGTGAACACCCAAATCAACAACAAATGGGGTCATCCTCGACGGCACATTTTCATTCAAATCTCACATCAGTAATATCACTCGGTCTGCCTATTTCCATCTACGCAACATCAACCGCCTCCGCCCGTCCCTTAACCCTAAGACCACCGCCATTCTTGTTCACACCCTGGTCACTTCCCGCATCGACTACTGCAACTCCCTTCTCTTTGGTCTCCCTCTCAAATCCATCCACAGACTTCAACTGGTTCAGAACTCTGCCGCCCGCATCATCACCAGAACCCCCTCCATTAACCAAATCACTCCTGTTCTTCAGCAACTTCACTGGCTCCCCGTCAAATCCCGTATAGTTTTTAAGATTCTGCTCCTCGCCTTTAAGGCCATCCATAACCTCACTCCTCTGTACCTCTCCGACCTCCTGCACATCAACACACCCATCCGCACTCTCAGGTCTTCTGCTTCCCTCCACCTCACTGCACCCCCCTTCCGTTTAACCACCATGGGGTCCAGAGCCTTCAGCCGCTCTGCACCCCACCTCTGGAACTCCCTCCCACCTGACATCCGCAACACTGACTCTCTCCCCATTTTCAAATCACGCCTCAAAACATATCTCTTCACACTCGCATATCCACCCTGATCATTATCCATCACACATCCTCTGTTTTTATTTATTTGGTTATTTGATTGATTTATATACTGCATTGTCTTGTTTATGTTTCTTATGCTGGTGTTATCTATTGTGTATCTTGTTTTTTATGTGTTTGTACGGCGACCTTGAGAGCCTTGAAAGGCGCCTATATAAAATAAATGAATTATTATTATTATTAAATGACCGGATTGGCCCAAATGGACCAATCCGCGGAGCACCTCACACACCAGGATCCCTTGGCTAACTAACAGGGAGTCCCCATTGACTTGCATAGAGCTCCCTGAACGCTGGTAATAGACGAGTTGGGATCGCGGAGAAATGCTCTCCGCAGACCCATTCTCACAGCGTTATAAACCTTTTTCTTACTCAATATCAAGCCACACTTATTGTTTTTACTTCGGCTGTGAGTGTTTGTGTGTGCTCAGGATGAGATTCTGTGTTTCGCTGTATCGCCGACCCGGAAACCTGTCCGCTCCTCGCAGCAGCGGCGAGCAGCAACGAGCCTCGCAACGAGCCTCGCAACGTCCCGACCAATCAGAGCACACTGGGCTCACAGGGAGGGGGGGGGGGGCAGGAGCTCCAACAAGCCATTTAGGACAGAGAGTGAATACCTGGTGAATACACATACTATACAGAGATGCGATTTTGGAAAATTGCACAATTTAAATCTATTCTAGTAGACCTCAACAATGGAAATATGATCAGTAGAAATGGCCATGACATGGGACCTTTAATCCTAAAGATGGTGACAAATAATGTCTTATAACTATTTTCTGATTCACAGAGATAGAAAGGAATATCCCAAATTATTTTTGTAAAAACCTTTGACTATAATATTTGAGGAAAAAATGTCAGAATACATGCTTTACTGTTTTTATTTTTTTAGTTTCATGATGATGACCTGTAGCGTCTCCTATTAAATCTTTGGCAGGTAACACTAGAGAGGAAGCAAGAGGAAGTTAGATTTGCTAACTCTTTCCCATTAAAAGTTGCTAGCAGCATTAGCTCTAAGAGTTGCTAGGTTGGCCATCCAATCATTTTCATTCAATCCATTGCAGTTCAAATACAGGTTTATTGATGTTGCCAGGATGTAAAAAGAATTGCAACAAATATAACAAAAAAAGCGGAAGGAAATCAGTTACTTTAGCGTGTTCGAAGTTCCAAACCTCTCATGGATACAAAGGATCGACCTTCTCAGTAGTGATGGAACGTAACTATTATAGATACTATAGGACATTTACCCAAGTACTGTACTTTTTTCTCACACCTCACTACATTTTGAAGTAAAATATTGTACTTTGTACTACATTTATTTAACACTCATAGTTACTAGCTATTTCTTACATATAAAACATAACATTTTTGATGTGATACCGGTACTGTACACTTAATATACCCCGTATTTTAAAAAGTACCTTCAATTGTCTTAACATTGACCAAATACAACATTAAATGTTCTTACATGTATTTGTAAGCAATACAAACTGAATAATATAATATTATTGTATGATATAATACTTTGAAAAGAGCCATTGTGCATAATACTTTTGATACTTTAAGTACATTATTATTCTATACTCCTCCTGAACTAACATTTTGAATTCATGACTTAAATAGAGTATTTTTGGACCAAAGTATTTCTACTTTTACTGAAGTAAAGGATATGCTTCTCGCGTCAAATCCAACCTAAACAACTGCTGCCCAAAGCCCAGCCAACAAAGAGGTGAGTGAAAAAAAAAACTTAGGGAAGGAAAAAGGAACATTTTCACACATCATCAGGGGAACATGGGCAGGTGAGGAGTGTGGTGACAGGATGGCAAACACTCTGGTCGGAGGAGCTGTGTATGGTGGCACCATCAACAGGTACTTACTTGGAAGAGATTTTCTTTGTTTGACTGTCGGGAATCCCCTTTATTACAGGACATCTATCAACAAAAGAAAGAGGAAAGAACAAACAATGAATACATGTAAAGCGGTCCATGAGTGTCAACATCCAAACCTAGAGAGGCCTGCAGTGCAGACAGTACAGTATGAGTTCAAACACATCAAGTCTTTAGGACATGATGGTGCAGAGGATTGGTCAGAATAATCTCTGCCTCCCTAAATCAGAATCAACCAGAATACTTTATTCATTCTGATTCTGAATACCTGCTTATTAAACAGACCAGAAAGAGACAGACAAGATAGAGATCAGCGGAGGATAAAACCACGTTCTACCACCTGACTCAACACCTGCTGTTGGATGAGTGGATTAAAGCTAAAGAGGCTAAACATACACATATTTATTTGTTGAATCATTCAACATGCTATTAAAATATCTTCATTGCTGAGAAACGCAGACTCTAGTGCAGTTAGGCTTTGTTTAACCATTAGTAGCTGTGCACTCTCACAACGTCATAGAGTCCTTAATCCTATTAGCTTTTTGATTAGACATGGCTAATTCCTGAGAGGCGGTTCTGTCCTGATGGAGATGGCTGCAGTTACCTTGGTGAAGGACACCGTGCTTCAGCTCGCTCGGACATCCCTAGCAATAAAAGCTGCAGTTCACTTTTATTACACAGCCTTTTAACCTAATGCGGGTATCATAGAGCACATTTTAAGGCTGAGAAAGCAGCGAGACAGCAGCACTTTGTTTGGTCTCTTTTTTATTTATCTCAGCGGGGCTTAAACAAACAGCATGTGCTGAGGACACCCACTGAGGCTGGTGCCCCACGAGGACGAAAACGGGTTGTATCCGCATATTTCTCTTGCGTATAGCCGTTTTTACCACACGAGGCCATAACTAAACGATAGAAACGGACCCCGCAAACGACAACGGGTCCAAAGGTGGATAGATCTGGGAACGGAGCGCTCTGGGGGGTCATACGGCTCCGTGTGATCGCCTCTATACGATCATTTTGTGATAATGATGACGCAATAGCCCTGCCTCCCCCCACCTCTGCTGCTCACCCCCGCAAAAGTACACTGCACACTGAATTCAGATTATTTATCTTTCTCTCGATATGGACATAAACGCGAGTGAAGTCTAATCTGACAGGACGGAGACACGCAGCTCCACGCAGCTCCTGTGTGTGCTGCATCACAGCGGGAGGAGCAAAACACACACTTCAAGTCAGATCATCACCCTTAGCTATTTTAATTACCTCTCAAACTACCTAAACTAGTTATAAATATGTTTATTTTTACTGTCGGGTCACTCATTACTGGATCAGCTGCTGCATGAGACAGACACTGACGCTGTCAGAAGAGAGGAAAAAGAGACAGGCTCCGTGTATTTTATTATTATATATCATTATATCGTCGTTATTCATTTGTTTTAAAGCTTAATGAATAACAAAGAAGACCTTTGACCGGCACTTTTACAATTTTGTCCGGAAGATTTCAACTTTAACACACGTTGACCGGCGAAAAACTCTGCCCGGTTCCCTCGGCCCCCACCACGGTGAATAAACAGAAGGGCAACCATGACGACCATGCTTCTTCGCTGCTTTTTCTGGAGGAAGTTACAGCGCCACGTACAGGCTCTGCATATGTACTGCAGCTTTTTCCAGTGGTTGGAGCTAAACGGAGCTGTCTCGTGTGAACAGACACTATCCGGTGTATATTGCGTGTGGACGGAAGCTTTTTTGCGATTGCGTTAATCCTATGCGTTTTGCCGTATGCGTACCCGTGGGGCACCAGCCTCAAACGCCAGCAGGAGATTAGAACGAGCTGATTTCAGGAGTTCTCAGGTTCTTGAACTCTTGTCGCTCAATATTTGAAAGTGAAATCAATGCACTGGGACTAGTCTTTGGGGTAGTTCTGTTACTCTTAGCAATATTGGGATCTTGAACCCTGTACACACCAGACATATCATCTGAGGCGCCATCTCCAAAAAGAGATACACTATCTGTCTGTGCAAACTGTGAAGGAACAACAGGCCAAACTGCACTCTCAATTCTTGCTGCTGTTTTATATTTTCTGGTGAGCAGGCTGCAAATGTACCGATTGCTCCTCAGGCTCCTGTTTTAGGTAGTTTATACAACTTCTTGAATCACAAGGCAGGGGTTTAGAGAAGGAAAAAGACAGACAGGAGAGATGTTTCAGCCCTTTTGTTTTCCCTCCATACTGTGTGTTCCCGGCACTGTCAGCCACGGGGGTGCTATATGAGTGTGTGTTACGTCTTTGTATTAGGCTGAGATTTCAGTGATCTCATACTGTACCGTGTTTTTTGGTGGGTTCACATTGGGAACAAGAGTGCCCAAGGCACGCTCCTTTGGGAAGCCTACGGCAAAGAACACATGCATGTACAGCCATGGGGGTACATCATTATGTACAACAATGGCTAACACGCGCACACACACATACATACACACACCAACATAAGCATTTGAACTGCAGACGCACGCACACACACACACACAAACAATAACCTCTGGAGGTGGCACTGTCAAATCACATGGTTCTCAGTATTATCTTTGTTTTCTCTGATTATTAACTCAAGCTTTGACCCCACTTAATGAGTCATATCTGTGTCAAGTCAAACATTCTTACAACGACAGCGTATGATTTTACTTTTGTGTGCAGTATCAACACTCATCCTCATTCAGAGCAGTAAACATTTAGACTGATAACTCCACAATACCTCAGCAGACTAGTTTATAAGATACAACACATCATTGTGAAGGGTTTGGCTTACTTGTACCTCTCTGTTTGCACAGTAAAACAACAGGCTTTGTCAAAGACAGTGATAAGAGATGTGTTTCCCACCTGCAGGATGGCCCCATAGAGGCGCAGCAGGACGCTCCGCGGCTCGTCCCCGACAGAGAGCTGGCTGTCGGGGAGGCTGCACAGGAAGAGCTTGTTGCTCAGACCACCCCTGCAGGACAGACGGGAATAGGATTATTCATTGCAGGTAGATAAGGCGTCCAATGGATGTTTGAAAGATATATCTTCTCATTTTTATACTCCTAAAATAAGCCGAATAAGATTTTTTTTTTTTTTAAACTTCATTCTAAAATGGAGCCACTTTCACCAAATCCAATTTTCCCCTGGATAAATAGCATATTCTAATTCTGATTGATTAATACAGTTTAAGAAAAGGATACATTTGAAAATAAATCAATCCAATTTGATTTAAATAGCCATACATCACAAGTTACCCATGGGCTTTTCAGTATGTACAGCATATGACACCATAATAAACCCCTGCAGCACACAAGAAAAACTCCTAAGAAATCCCAAAGACCGTGGGAAAAAAATTGAACAAATCCTGGTCTATGGGCTTAGATTTGTCTCATAAATATTTGTGTGAACATAAAAATAATTTGTGTGTAAATACGTGATTTGTAAATGTAAAACACCATCCACAAATGCATTTAAAAGATTTGCAAACTCACAAATACATTTGCAAATGTAAAACGGATCTGCAAATACGCAAAATATTGTCACAAATAAAAAAAAGATCTGTGAATACTATAATTAATTTACAAATAAACAAAAGGAATTTGTGAATATCTCTTTAACATTGACAACTTTTGATCAGGCATTTGTGAATCCATTTTGTATTTGTCAACCAAAAATGCGCTTGTGGATCTCAAATCTCTGCTTGTGGATCGTCTTTTTACACACACAGAGTTTTGAGATAAACTTTCCGCCGGTCTCGACCGAAATCTGCTCGTGTCACTCGGTTATTTTCGGAAACCACTGATGGCCTGCTGCTGATGACATTTCCGGATTTCAAGGTTTCAAAGTAAGAGCATGATGGTTTGTTTAATGTGCCGTTTTTGTATTATTTTAATGAACAGCGGTACTTCGGTCCATTCTTTATCACCATCATGTTATAGTGATATAGTTAGTTTGTGTTAGCTTCGCTGCCAGAGCTAGCTCCCCGGGACTCGAAAGTGACGTAGCCTAAGTACTTCAACAACATCAATGCATACGAATGTACTCGATATATGCTGTATTGGACAAATAAACTAACACAAACTAACTATATCACTATAACATGATGGTGATAAAGAATGCACCTAAGTACCGCTGTTCATTAAAGTAATACAAAAACGGCACATTAAACAAACCATCATGCTCTTACTTTGAAACCTTGAAATCCGGAAATGTCATCAGCAGCAGGCCATCAGTGGTTTCCGAAAATAACCGGGTGACACGAGCAGATTTCGGTCGAGACCGGCGGAAAGTTTATCTCAAAACTCTGTGTGTGTAAAAAGACGATCCACAAGCAGAGATTTGAGATCCACAAGCGCATTTTTGGTTGACAAATACAAAATGGATTCACAAATGCCTGATCAAAAGTTGTCAATGTTAAAGAGATATTCACAAATTCCTTTTGTTTATTTGTAAATTAATTATAGTATTCACAGATCTTTTTTTTTATCTGTGAAAATATTTTACATATTTGCAGATCCGTTTTACATTTGCAAATGTATTTGTGAGTTTGAAAATCTTTTAAATGCATTTGTGGATGGTGTTTTACATTTACAAATCACATATTTAAATACAAATGATTTTTATGTTCACACAAATATTTATGAGACAAATCTAAGCCCATACTGGTCCGATGTAGGAAACGTGTAGAACTACAATCGCAATTACCTAGTTCAATTAATGCCTATTAAAACTTAGCATAAAGTGGTTATATGGTACAACATACACGTTTATGAGGCTTACAACAGCAGCTTAAGAAAAAAAAAAGGAAACAATGATTGGCCACCCAGTGTTTCCCAACACCATTTGAAAAAGTGGAAGTCCAGCTTAGGGCAGAAATAACTTTGAACTATGCTATGACATGAATTAACTGGTACAATTCCAGTTAGAAAGCAAACATATTTAACAACATAGAATTGGACATTTCTATATACCCTAACTCTTTCTAAATCTGCACAGCCCTCCACTCTAAAATATATTATAATGCAGATTGTCATATAAAAATTGCATTTTGTATATTTATATTTGGTGTTAATAATTGTCTTTTTTTTTTAACGTTAAACGTTATTTTTGACCTTCTCTTATAACTTATTTCCCTATGTTGTTTGTGTTTGCACCACCATACACCAAGGCATTTCCTTGTATGTGTCATACACCAAGGCATTTCCTTGTATGTGTCATACACCAAGGCATTTCCTTGTATGTGTAAACGTAAACTGGATACTGATAGGGATTCTATTGTCATAGTTTCCTGTGTAGCAGCTAAGGATCACATCACTGCACTTATGTATTATTCAGCCTCTAACGGTGAGACTGTGTAATCACTCCAACCAAATGGGCCTATTTTCACCAAACAAGCGCGTGCACACTGTACCGTATGATGGTGATGTGGAAGTGTTCCTCGGCCAAGCTCTTCCAGGCTCCATGGAGGAACTCCCGGCACCACAGATAAGCCTTGCGGCGGGTCTCCAAGTCAGGCAGCTCGAGCTGAACCAGCGCCTTGCAGTCCCCCTCGGTGTCGCCCTGAACCTGCAGGGCGTTTTCGGTCACCAGCAGACCCAGAGACAAGGAGGGGGAAGAAGATACTCCGTTGATAAATTTAGTTTTCATCCTGCTTTTTAGTAATAAAACGCAAATTCTGACCCCCTCTGAGCGACTAAGCTGATCGTTATCCTCTGGCTGGTGTCGCAGGAGGATTTATTTCCGTTATCCGCAACAATTATTTTCTCTCTGTGAATGTATAAAGGACAGAGGGTTGTAGTTTTCCTTATTTTTCGTTGGAAAAATGCGAAGCTCTGTGGAGAGGTCTGATAAACAGTCTGCAGCAGGCTCCGTTTCTGGCAATGTATGAGTAAAGTGTGAGGGACGCGCTGATGTAAAGGAAGAGTACGCAGGGCGGGGTGGGAGGGGTCACATGACGCGTAGGGGGCATACTCTTCCCTCATTGGTCGGCTCGGACGCATCCCCGAGGCACCAAAACAAACCATATGGTGACTTCAGGGACTATCAACAGACCAATTCAGATTCTAAACACTGCAGCAGAGGGGTACACAGATCTTGTTCTTGAATACAAGTAGAAGTACCAGAGTGTAGGAATACTTTCTAACAAGAAAAATTCCTGTATTAAAAATGTTACTCAAGTAAAAGTAAACAAGTATTAGCATCAAAAATGTACTTAAATTACCAAAAGTCAAAGTAGCCATTGTGCAGATTGGTCCATTTCAGAATAATATATATGATATGTTTTATAATGATTGATCATTAAAGTGTTCTCAAAGCTGGTAAAGGTGCAGCTAGTTTGAATGACTTTGTATACTGCAGGGTAGCTTGTGAATTTACTCCAGGTGGAACTAAAGTCTGATTTAAGACTTGATTAGTGCGAATGCTGTTCAACAGCGTTCCACTATTGTTCTTCTTTTCTTTAATTAGTGAATGCTGTTCAACAGCTTTCACGCTATTGTTCTTCAAATCTTTATTAGTGCAAATTATGTTCAACAGCCTTCCACTACTTCTTCTCAGGGCCGTGGTAAGTAGGGGTGCTGAGGGTGCTGCAGCACCCCCTGATGGAGGACAGGGAATCTGCACGTCCACAAGATTAAATGGAAATATAATACAAATATAATACAAAAAAAAACAAATTTTCGGCCTTGATGTTCACATTCATAATTAAGTAAAGATAACACCCTTTTCACCCCGGTTACATTTTCCATGTGCCCTGAGAGGCTCAGTGAGGTAAAGGACTCTGAGTGTTTAGATAGTTCACTTTAGTCTAAGTTATCTCAGTGGGTCTCAAACGGTTTTATCACAATTTATGTAAACAAATGTTTCCAAGGCACACCTTTATAATTATTAGGATAAATAAAAACAGGTTTGAAATCATTCCAATGTCATTTCATTTCATTTCAAACCTTTATTTAAAGGAAACCTATCATGCTATATTTAAATGATATATTGTAGGGCCATACCTATATAAGGTATATTTATACGTTTCTGTTTTCAAAATACCAAACAGATCATGCATTTTAGCCATGCCTCATTTCGCTCTATGTGCTGTTTGCTGTCTACGGGTCTGATTCTGCTGACCACGCCCCCCTGCAGGAGAGGTGAGACGTGCTCTGATCAGCTGCTGGGCTGTCAGAAGAGGGGGAGAAAAAGAGATCTCCGTGTTTTATTATATAGAGTCGTTATTCATTTGTTTTAAAGCTCAATAAATAACAAAGAAGACCTTTGACCGGCACTTTTCTGATTTTGTCCGGAAGATTTAAACTTTAACGGACATCTTGACCGGCGAAAGAAACTGAAACTGAAACTCTGCCGCACGGTCCCCTCGTTCCTTGGAAGAGGCGGAGAGGTGGGTGTTTGTCATCTGCTGGTGGACTAACCGGAGAGAATTACAGTGCTTGCCTCGACGGGGAGGGATTGCATTGCAGCGGGAACAAACGCTTGCCTCGGGGAGGGAGAAAGAAAGCCACAGCGGAGAATAAACAGAAGGGTAACCATGGTAACCAAGTCTTCTTCACTGCTTTTGTGGCAGACTACAGCGCCACTTACAGGCCTGGCATATGTACTACAGCGTCTCCAGCGCTTTCGAACGGCAATGGCCGTGGCTGTCTCCTCCTGATTGGTGGAGTTGGCCCAATAGCCGTAGCGCCACCGTCCTGACGTCAGGACAGTGTTCAAATCTGGATCAGTTTTTATCAGATCCGTTGCAGCCCCGTTTTTAGAGATTTGGTTATGGAGGAAAATAGAGAGGGTTGTGTTTTCTGACACTTGGTGAGTTCCCTGGAACACCGGGGACACATATTCATGTATAAAAGACGTACAAAAGTGCATTTTGCATGATAGGTCCCCTTTAACCAGATTGGTCCCATTGAGATCATAGATCTCTTTTTCAAGGGAGACCTGCAGCATATAGGTTCCACATGAAACATAAAACAATAAAAGGACATCATACATTATATTTACAGGATACATTTACATAGTTATAGACATTTACAAGTACCCATAGTATCAACGAGCATTTCATTTAGCCTAGCTTTAAAAACATGCAGAGGAATGAGATTGCTCAGTTTCAATTCTTGCTGAAGATTGTTCCAAGCAAGTGGAGCTGCGCACATAAAAGCTGTCTTACCTAAGACAGTCCTTGCTCTTGGCACATGTATACTATAGGACAGTAAACCAACAATATCCTTTAAAACTGGAGAGATTAAAAAATATGGATGAATAAATAAATGTTAACTGATAAAATAAAATAATATTGAACCAGCAAAAATCTTGCCTAGGGCAGCAAATTGGTCAGAACCGGCCCTGGTGTCATCCCCACAGCACCCCCCATTTGAAACATGTTCCCACGGCAATGCTTCTTCTTCTACTTATTTCAGTTCTTCCGCACGTTTTTTGGCTGCAATAACTGGGGTTACGTATTGTAACCCAGCTTCTATGAGTATAGGCGCAGCCCTCTAAGGCTATCGCTATTGGGTAATCCCACTGCACGTGTGCAGCAATGACAGACTTAATCCACGCCCACCTATGACGTGGGCCCCACCTACGGCCTCACTTCCGTATAAATAGGAAGTAGGCCCGACCATCTGCTCCCACGCCAACAGCTTTTCTTCAGCTATTCACGGAGCCAGTGGGGCCCGAACCTTAGAGGGCTGCGCCTATACTCATAGAAGCTGGGTTACAATACGTAACCCCAGTTCTATTTCGTATAAGGCTTCGCCCTCTAAGGCTATCGCTATTGGGTTAAGGGCGAAGCAGGATGTAGTCCACGCCCCACTGGTCCGTCCGTTACCAGGAGCACAAAAACATACCTACTCAATTTAATAACCCATGTCCATTGCGCCATGCGTAATGGAGCATCACAGTCCCTGGAAATGTAGCATTTAAAATGAATATTCTCCATGAGGGAATGAAGGTGAATACCTGTCGTTATAACAAGTAGAGACCAAAGTCCCACTTGTTACAACGAAAAAAGAGAGGAAACAGGGCAGCTCTCTGAGTGCCGACAGGCAGGAGAGAGGGCACACAGTTGTGTCCCCGACATTACTCACTCTGACAGGACATTCAGTACTGAGTGTGTCAGAGAGGAATGGGAGACATCCCTCAAATAAAAACGAATAAAAGAACAGGGGGAAGACCAATATGCCGCAGTGCAAATGTCTTCCACTGTCAGTCCTCCGTGCAACGCCGTAGAGGTTGATACAATTCCTCTGGTGCCGTGCGCTTGATGTTCTCCGGGGGATCCACCCCAGAGGAGACATACGCCTGTGACACAGCCAGTGTGACAGGCGTTGTGCAGACAGAGGCTGCTCCATTGAGCGCTCTCTGTAATGCACAAACAGACGCTGGGAACTGCGCAACGCAGCCGCGCATGCCGTATAGCATGACAGCGCGCGCACGGGACGGAGGAAATGAGATGTGGCTTCCTCCTCTGATGTGTGAGGAGGAAAAAAAACATCCAAAGTTATCACTCTTGATCTAAAAAAGAGACCTGTGATAATTTTTGGCATAAAAACCAGTCTAGGGCGCAAAACAGCTAAGCTGCCATCTCCTTGGATCTGGAGACATGACGGAGCCACAGAGAGAGCAGACAAATCACTCACCCCTTTTAGCTGATGTCAGAGCCAAGAGCAGAGCTACTTTGGCTGACAAGAACTTTTAGGGGGACCTGATCTAAAGGTTCAAATGGAGCTTCTCTCAGTGCGCGTAACACTAAAGCCAAATCCCATTGAGGCGCCAAAGCGCGTGACAGAGGTCTGAGTCTCTGTACTCCCCGTAGAAAACGTTTTGTCAGAGGGTGACTAAACACCGTGCTGACACCAAAACCTACGTGGCAAGATGAAATGGCAGCAGCATATGTTTTGACCGTGCTATAAGCCAGTTCCTGTCCAGCAACAGCTGGAGGAACGACAGCACGTGAGGCAGGGTGACCGTAACGGGGTCCAGGCTTTTCCCTACATGTCAAACGGAACGCTGTCCATTTGGCTGTGTATGATGCTCTGGTGTGTGAAGCAGCTGCGCTGATCTTACACCTCCCTGGCGATTTATGTAGGCCGCCGCTGCTTTGTTGTCTGTTCGAATAAACACATGTTGATTGTACCGCAACGGGGCGAAAAAATGCTGGATTACTCTCCATACGTTTATATGGAGAGACATGTGAACCGGCCACTGTCCCCCCCCTGCCTGCGACATGCACGTTCCTCAGCCTGCGAGAGATGCGTCTGTGAACACTGCGGTGTGTGTCGGAACTTTCTCCAATTAAACAAAGATAAAACTGAGGTAATGGTTTTTGGAGCCAAGGCAGAACGTATAAAAGTTAGCGCTGAGCTTCAGTCTGCAATGTTCAAAACAACAGATAAAGCCAGAAATCTAGGTGTAGTCATGGACTCTGACCTGAGTTTCAACAGTCACATTAAAACAGTTACTAAATCAGC